ATTTCAGGGCAAACTCCTACATCCAACGCCACTGTCGCCCTTTTGACATGTTTATTACAGGGAAAACAAAACTAACTACATGAATGATCACTTTTTAATATAGTTTTGGCACCATGTCAAATTGCATTCAATCCTTTTTTAAATTGTTACAAATCTGATGAAAAATAAAGCTCAGGTGTTGGAGGAAGCTTATGAGGATGTTTAAGGTTTTCATCCTTTGACTAAAGCCAGTGTTTACAGAGAAGTTGGAAAGAATCATCATCGTTGATAGGTATCAGTAATGACAGGAATAACAAAATGACAAATTAACAGAATAACATTATTGCCATTACCAACTGCAGAAATAGGGAAGTCAGAGAAAATCAGGTCAGGAAGGCTGTAGTAGCCTGTTAAACTGAAGGAGCTGGGGGAATTTCTTACAATGACAGTTTGTGTACATGTGACAACGATCTCCTGTAATCTCATCTTATTCAAACTAAACAACAGGGCTGAATTTTGCACAATTTCAAAAGATAAGTTTGGCAGAAAAATCAACACATTAAAAGGACGTATTATCCCCAGTGTAACATGGTCGTGGCAGCATCATGATCTGGGGTTATACTTCTTCAAAAAGTACCACTTTTTTTTATCCAAGTGAGTTCAATTATGAGCTGGAAATGATTTAGAGACAGGTCTTATTGCCAAGGTAACTGTTACAGATGATACTATCGTTTCTTTTTCCATCCGTCCTTCTTTTTTGCTTATCCGGGGTCGGGTCACTGTGGTAGCGGCGTCAGTAAGGAGGCCCAGACATTTCTTCTCCCGAACAACTTGGGCCAGCTCCTCCGGGGGAATCCCAAGGCGTTCCCTGGCCAGCCGAGAAACATAGTCCCTCAAGCATGTATTGGGTCTTTAGTTATTTTTTATTATTATCATTTTTTTTAATCAGGGACAACAATGCATAAAAAGTAGAGGGATTTCATAGCTCCAGGGTCACACAGTGCCAACAAAATAGATTTAGAGAACATTTTGTGAGCTAAACTGGACAAATATTGCCATTGGAAGGGGAAGAATTCTGAATCTGAATTTCAAAATATTCTTTATTTGATCAGATTAAAGATTTTTTAACTAGGTTGAGAAGTCTTTTTGAGTAAATTCCCTTTTCCCCCCTTTTTTAACATAAGATAAATCGTGTTGTTGGATAACGGTTGTTTCTCTCAATGGGAACCCACCTTGTTCCATGCTGGGGGCCATTGGTGCACAGATGAGATCCAGACAAAACAAATTGAGGGCCCCAGAGAGGAGGAGGGGGGGATTTTATACGACATGGGCGGGGGAGCCTGAAGGGGGCGGGGCTTCGGTTCGCTCGCATCTCCGTTCGGCTGCAGGAACAAAGGGGTCCTGTAGTAACACAAGCATAGCTATCAAGCTCCCCCCTTCAGCAAATAGATGTTAAAACACAGATTTTGCGTCACCGCAGGACGACTGAAACCGGTCTAGGTATTTTATCCTTATTTTCTGTCACATAAGCGCCCTTTTTTGGACCTTGAGAGTGAAAACGCTGGAGCTTTTTCCGTCCAGCCGCTCCGGCTAGCAGCGAGGCTAGCTGCTAAGAAAGACCGAGCAGAGGCGCTCTGAACGACGACATACCGAACATTTCTCTGCAGGTAACAAAACTTTAACCCATAGCTTTACAGCTGTAATGTAGGGGGATAATAACGCACGGAAACGGGGCGCTGTTTTTGGCTGTGTGAAGTGAAAGGCGAACCGTGGTCATTTAGCTAGTAGGTTAATAGCTTAGCAATGGCATCCTTTCTGTTAACGGCTGTCGTTAATGAGGACGGCCCAGTAGTTATTAGTTAACGCCTGGTTCCTACAGGTAAGCTGGATGCTGTCACTGTTAAATGAATACGGTGCATTATTTATTACAGAGCTATAACGTGACTCCTTTGACCTACTGTGGAAGTATGCTGAGGAGTGTTTGCTTATTGATGTTTTATTGGCTGAGGGCCATCCTCTGGATGCAGCTCCATTGTTTGCAGTAAAGGAGTTTGGGCGGACTGAATGACACCAAGATCTTCTTATGTGGGGTTAACCTGAGAGCTGAATGGCCTCAGCAGTTCTTTAAGGGGGTTTGAAGGCTAGACTTATTTAAAAGTACTTTATCACAATCTTTATTTTGAGATTTCCTTCATTGTTTTATTGGTTAATGTGTAAGAAATGTTTGTCATTAATTTTTTTCTACATTGTTTTGACTTTAACATTTCACTCAAATTCTGTATTTGTCAAACAGCTTAATTATAACTACTTAGCACAATTTGAAGTGATTTAAAGTGTTTTTTGTTACTACTGTAGTTTGTACATCTAGGAATGGGGTCTAATATTAATGATGGGGGTGTATAGGCCAGATGTAAAGCCAGTGTATTTACAGTAAAGGAGTTTTGGGGATTGGGGTAAATGACCCTAAGGTTTCTTTTTTTGTGTGAACAGCTCCTGCAGGACT